CCCCCCCCCCCCATACCACCGCCGTCTTCGTCCAAACCCCTTTCGTCGCTGTCTGCGCTTTCAAGCCCGTCGCTATCTGCTAGGCCCAATCCTGCCCTGCTGCCGCCCTTGCTCCCGCGCCTGCTCCCACCCCTCGCCCCGCCGAGGGTTCCCCCTGTGCTGTGAGCGCCACCGGAAGCCTCGTGCTCGTACTCCGATAGGAATTCCCGGAGGACTTGCACCTTTTTTGCGGTGTGTGTGAGCGCAGGTGGGTGTGTATGGGTGGCCATGGCAGCGACGGCGAGGACGACAAGCGCCCACGAGTGGAGGGGTGGAGTTGGACAACCCGTGCTTCACACACAGCAGGCTCTTTCTGGGTGTTCGCAACACTTCGTTGACCGCGCCATTGTTGCATGGGATAGAGAGGGATGCAATATGATACTCGTGCGCGGCAAGTTCATCAAACATCGCGAGAGTCTTACGCAAGAAACCACTGGCTAGACGGAATTTTTGCAGCTTAACCCATACCTGCCCTTCCAGTTCCTCGTACAGCGAGGTCTCGCAGGAGATGTTGACCATGGTGCCCATGATAAGCCTCTTGTACGCACGATCGTGTGCCATGCTCATGACGGAGCTCTTGCCCGACAAAGGATCGTTCGTCAGCTGGCTCAAAGAGCGGCGTCAAGAATCCGGCAACAGGGCGAAGGCACGTGGGAAATTGAGGACCATTCTGGTGTGCCCCTAAGAGCGAAAGAGCTCCGATCCAAAAGAACCCACAGCTATCGAGAACACGTGAACTGTGCTTGTGATGGGCAAGTTAGTCCAGGCGAGACAGTCACCGCCGATGGCCGCAGGCAAGAGCTGCTTTTTCGCTGCCCCCACGCATAACGTTCATCAAACACTTCCGACGGGCTGGGCTTCCTTACATCCGCGACTGAGGGGTGTCAAGTCAACACCTGTCAAGTACGAGTTAGGTTCTCTCTCCCCCTGACTCCCGAGACAGGCCGGTATCGCCATTACATCCCTAGGGGGCTACAGTCCAAATGGAGACCAACCTTGAGGTGCGAAAAAATCTGCCCATCTCCGTGGTAAACGATGAGCGCACGGTACTTTTCCACAAAAGAAAGCCGTAGGACTACAGCTTGCCACGTCACCCACAGGTCAGCGACCATGTCTTCGTTCGGGCTACGGTGGCACGGGCAACAGGCACGGAGGGCAGCGGGTGGCCAATGAACAGTTTGCGAGGCGAGGGTAGGAGACACGAGCGTGTTGGTTCCGACCGCTTCTCTCGGCTTGTGTCACGGGCGGACAGACTTTATAAGATACGTTTTCCTGTTCGGGCTGACTGATGTGTATGTGGCACTGGGACATATGTAGGGCAGAGCACTTGATCACGGCTCAACCGTGGCCTACCTCTCCCCTGCCGAAACAATCATCGAACAACAAAACATAAGGAGGCGGATCTCGGCATTGCAGATGGACGTGGAATGTGCTCGTTCTGTACTTGTTAGACAAAAGACTTTCAACAACGACAGCATCATCATCATCATCAACAACAACAACGGCATTACAGTTGACCTTTCGTTTGGGTCTTCGTGCATGATGAAGGTGAGCAGCGACATCACCGCCGACGGGTCAAGCCTCGGGTCCGAGATGCTCAAACTCGTGAGGTTCATTACTGCTCCTAGCACGTTCCTTCGGACTTCTAGGCTCGGTTTGCGTCCAATGCTGACGGCCTCCACCGCCTCCGATCTCGCGCTTGCAACTCGCTCCCCCGTGCCGCTGCTGCTTCTTCTGGTCGACCCCTCGCCAACGGCGTCTGCGGTGTGTCCGTCACTACCACTCGTAGCCGTGCTGGCCTCCGGCCCGCTCCCGACCCCACCCGCCCCGCTCGTTGCAGGCCCCACGTCGCCACTGCTACCGTCCTGTGCGCTTTCGGTCTCGCCCCCGCTGACAGGGCGAACCCCGCCGTCGTCCAAAAGGGCCGCCCCTGATTGTGTACCTGACACCGAGGCGTCTGTTGCGCTAGCACCACCACTACCATTTCCGACTCCTCTTATTGACGCAGCAGCATTGCTGTCGGGCTGTTGCTCTTGTTGTTGATTGTTAGCTTTCTTCGCGTTGTTTGTCGAGGAGGACCCCAGCAGCTCTAGCAGCGTGCAGGTCACGCCGGCTTCGAGCAGCGCCGAGTGGAAGTCGTGCTCGCACGTCAGGTTCCACAGCATCCGGGCGACTAGCTCGCGAACCTGGAAGGGAGTTGAGCGAGCGGGGCAAAGGGATGACAGGCTGATTTTCTATGATCGTAACCCTCAGGTCATGGACCGTCGCACCCTTACACAGCCGGACGCAGCTCATGGCATTTTCCTCAGCAGAATAGCAACGCACCGCGCGAATCACCGCAAGGTGTTCAGCGAGGACTACAGAGGTTGACCTGCACCACTACGGACTGCTTGTGAGAAGGGTTTCGGCCCTTTTCACCTATTATCTTGTGCAGATGACGCTTCGGATTGCTTGCCGGCTAGCCGTCGGAATACACTAGGGAATTGCTCAAGGCACGTACAACGTCGTTCGAAAGCTGGGGTCCGCAATTTCCTACCTCAGGGGTGTATCCGTGGACGAGCTCAAAGAGGGCAGGCAGCTCGTCGCCCGCTACGAGCTTCGCTCGTCGCTCCTCCGACACCATGAGGTTGTTCATTGCCTTGATGAGATTGCTTTTCACGTCGGCCGTGGCGGACGCGAGGCAGCCAGCGATGGTGTCTCGCAGGATGTTTGTGTTAGTGAGCCAGAACCGGTCGCCATCGCCAGCGGCTTCGCTGCCTCCGTTGCTGTCTATCGTTTCGCTAACGGCAGCCCCGCTGCCCTCGTGGCTGACCATGTGGTTGCTGTCAGGCTCGCGACTCCTTGTGCTCTGCGTGCTGCTCCCACCATCGCTTTGCCGCTGGCTACCGTGGTCGTTCGTGTTCTTACCGTGCCCCCCACTGCCCCCTTCATTCACCGCTGCCTTGTCTTGTGTACTTGCGGGTTCTGGTGTTGCCGCGTTCCCGTCGTTCCTCGGGGAAGGGAGCTGAGTCTCATATTGAATCGCCGCAGCCACGTTGCAAAGCGCAACACTCACATGACTCTGCCCGCCCAGGGTAGACGCGCGGGATCGGAGAAAAACGCAAAAGGGGGGAGGACAAAGAAGAGGGTGCTTAATCGATCTTTGAATCTTATTGACGCTTCCAGGTAAGACGAAACGCGACCTTCACCTGTGGCCCAGCAGGTCGCACATAGGAGACGGTGAGGGCCACACGCATGAACTACATGCCTTGGTTTTCGGAGAAACGCTCCGCATGAGCACCGCAAGGCTCTTCCCAGCTGCTTCCTTGACTCCCATCTCTTTGGCAAACTTGGCCTCGCTGCTCCAGTCCGCCATTACCCGGGCGCACCGGCCCATGAGAGCCTCGTCCGGTCCCGAGGTAAGCACCGCAGCGCACACGAGATACACGAGCTTTTTCTGGCCGCCAAGGAGAGAGCAGAGAGGTGAGCAACGACACGGAGAGGGGGTTGCACATGAATTCCCACGCCGTACTTGGTAGATTGTTGGCCCCACATCCGTTTGAGTATGAGACACGAGGGTGGGAGAACAGTCAGGGAGATAGACAAAAGAGTGAAATAAACCAGACCAACTAATTGGAGCAAAAAATAGCCCTTCTTCTTGGTGTGCTTTGTTGCCACGAAAATAGTCTCGCCGTGTTGTCAGAGGCTCGGCAATTCTCCAGTCCCTTTTCTCTAACAACTGGTCTCACAAGCAGGTCAGCCCACCAATGGGCACCACGAAATGCAGCTGGCTGTCTCGCCCTAGATGTTTGAATGGAAGGAACCCAGTAAAAGGTGCCCACATGCACATCAATCTTTCGGAGTTTCCTTTTTTTTTTTCCGTCCTCTAGTTAGTTGCGTGGTCGCTATGATCTCACTCCAGCAGACCATAGGGTATCGTACTTCCACGCCGTGGTTGCTTCGATTCTGCTTTCCAACAGGCTAGATAAGAGGTGCCCAAGTAGCTTTCGACGAAGATGGGTCAGGTTGTGTATATGACACCTCAGAGTGCTGGTAGATAACCACTACCATGACGGTAATCCCAACAACATCGACGCTGCTTCCCCTGCTTTCGTTGCAAACACTAACCACCATTGAAGTTATCTCCGAAGGCGACGACGCGCGCTCGTACTCTCCGTCGGCGTTCAAGATCGTCCCCACACGCTCGACGATGGCCACCACGCAGTACCTCAGAGCGCCCACGTACGGGGTTACCACATTCACCCTTTCTCCTGAAAACCTCTTCCCCTTCATTGGCCAGCCCGGCCGTTGCGGTCGGGGGTTAGCAATACCATCACTTCTCACCCCCCCCTTTCCACCGCCACCATCGATGACGGTATTCCCCCGTCCGCTGCCCTCACGCCCACTTGTGTTGGGAGCTCCAGAACCCCCGCTCCCGCCGCTACCATCGTTGGTCCCTTCGGCGTCAGGGCGAGGACGCCCGTGCTCTGTTTTTTTGTCCGGGGCATCCCCTAGCGCGAGCGCCATGAGGAGATCGATCATCTTCGCCGAGGCCATACGCCGGCAGAAGCGCGGCTCGACGGCCACCTGCGCGGCACGATGCACGCAGGAAAACACCAAGCCGGAGTCGCCATACTTTGCTAGAAACGGCGAATCTCCCGTCAAGTTTCAGTTTGATTCGCCGGGCTTGGGGATGAGGGTACCGGGGGACTGCTTTGTGTTCACTTACCCTTTTCGAGGTGCAAGATGTTGATACGCCATACACAAAAGAAACGGTCAACACGAATAACGACGGACCAACGTCGGCGTCGATTGTGGGTGGGAGTGTTCCCTCCTGCCGGCCCAAACATCGTCCCGAACCAACTCAGGATACCTTTGTGATACAGTAGGTGTCCCGATATAGTGCCGGTTGAATAGTGCCAAAGTCCGGTATAGTGCCGGTAAACTTTCTTGACTCAGACACAGGTCTGATAGTGCCAAACGGGCACTATTGAGGGTTGCCCAATATAGTGCCGGTTCAGGCACTATCGAACCCCTCAAAAGTGTCGGTTCACACCCAACACACAGCCATTTTGCGCCTCAAGCATTCCACGCCAACAGGATTCGGAGACGGCTTCCCTTCGAACTACAAGTAACGCTCGGTTTCTCGCGGTACGCGTGACGTCTTCAAATGTCACGGTTTACCGATCGACTAGGTTCTACCAATAGGCTGGGATTTCAGTAGGGGGGCGAACGAAAAAGAAGATGGTGTATTGACGAAGGATTGATATGGAAACTATAGCCAAGGATAGCAGTGATGATGCAGGAGGAATATATGGCGTTGAGGGGAACAACAAGAGTTTCGAGCGAGATGACCTTCCTCACAACAAATGCCGCAGGGGCGTAGAATCCAGAGATGAAAGCCGATAAATAGTGGAAAGATTTTAGTGAAGAGTGTGGCAGTGGTGGTAAATAAAATACTTTTGAGGAAGGATGAAAACACTCCGAACAAACGCGTGTTCAAAAGTAGTAAACCTTTACAGTCACGTAGTTCTCCTCTCTCGGTTGCTACCATTTCTATCTTTTATCCAGAGAATAGCTCAGCCTCCTCCATGACACCCTCTCACTTCCTTGACAAACAAATATTTTCTGTTTTTGACCGCGCTGAGACTGACGACGGCTTTTGGTTGGCCAGTCGTTTTTCTTGCTTCTGAAGGCTTGGTCTTCTCTCGAGCTTTTTATCGAGGGAACAGGGGAGATCGTTATCTTCTTCACCCCTTTTTTAGGTTTCATCTGCTTTTTTTGTATGCTCATGTAAGGAGCACTTCACCCATCCATGTTTTACCTCCAAATGTACACCGGGTGCATGCATGAGCGTCTTTCTTTCGCTGTCCGGGGTGCCTTTGAGGTTGCCTGAACAATAATAGTGCTACGGCCTTCTTGCAATACAACACATACATTATAATTTGATAGCGAGGTGAACTTTTTCGGGCAGCACAGTCTACGGTTGAAAGGTAGCAGCAACGTTTCACTAGCGAGTGCTTGCGCTGAGGTGGGAAAAGAACAACTGCTGTCGAACAAATCTATCTGGTCAATAATTTTAATGTGACCAATGTCGTGTTTTCGACAGTCCAAGAGCCTCACGAAACTTAATGGGGCCCGCCCACGTCGCCCACCTCATGATTGATCCAAACACCGTTCGTTTGGTACTCTGTCAGCCCCGCAAAGCGTAAGCGCTGCACTCTGAAGTCGAACAGTCCTGAATAGTGCCAAGCCGTTGGCACTATTCAGGCACAATTCTGAATAGCGCCGGTGCCCGGTATAATGCCGGTCAAATCGCCTGGACCCATACCGGCACTATATCGGGACACCCACTGTACACCGAAAACACCTCTGCCAGTTACAGATTACTCCTCACATATTTGACGTATTTGCCAGTCAGCATGTTGCTCGAATTGTACCGGGCTCAACGAGTGCTGCTTACGACGGACCTTGACAATAATATAGCACTCCCCCGCCTCTGATACGTCGTACACGTGTACATATACCGAGAGCTCTTATCCTTCCATAGGGTGGAAATACTGAAACACATGTGTTGGAGTTAACGAACCGTGGCGTGAAAACAAGCGTGAGGTTGAGCAGCATTGTTGTCTAGCTGGACACCCCTTGAACGGCGAATGATTGTGCGAGGCGAAACTAAAATATTCTAAGGGTCAACACAGTTGATGCCAATCAGACGAACAACGCAATCCGAACTCGTGATAAGAAGCGGCGGTCCTTCATTGGCATCAACTCGGGTGCGCGGTCAATGGTAGCCGTCAAGATTGACAACAAGCACGGGAACAGTTATCCGATCCCAAGCTGGAGCTCGTTGCAGACAACCTCTTACCTGTGCGACGATGGCGAGCTGCGCAAGCAGAAACTCGGACTCTTCCTGGCCGTTCTGGCCGGGCTGGCCACCGTTAGCAAGGTCCTCGAGGGCGAGGTCAGCTGCACCACTCTCGGCAATGTCCGAGCACAGGTCGACCGACTGCGCCAGGCTGAAGATGCACGCGGCCGCCATGAACTTGATATTCTCGTCTTTGGTGAGCTGTACTTTGTCGCCATCATTGTTGTCGTTGCCGTCGATGTCGTTGTTCGTTGATGATGTCGGTTTTGTGGTGTCGTAAGCCGATGACAAGAAGAAGACAGCAATCAAGCCAGTCCCAGCGAGCGATTGCCGTCAATCCGAGGAAACGTTTGTCGACCCCGGCCCCAGCCCGCCGAGACGGTCAGTGGTACCAAGTACGAAAACAAAGTACACGTGCGAGTCAATGACGTAGGTACGTGGAAAATTGACCCCTAAGCAGGTTACGGTAGTTGGTGGAGACGGCAAATGAGGCGAGGGTGGCAAAAAAGCAGGAACAGAAGAACCAGAAACGTGATTCGGGGCTCACTCTCGGGGCTCAACGACGAAGAACGCGACTACGGCACCCCTTCTCCCGCGGCCCCGCCCCCTGTACACGGTAGCAGGAGACATGCGGTTCTCTCGCCACAGCGAACCTTGTCGTACCACATCTGACTTTGGTGCGCTAGTGACAATAAATTGATTTCCATCACCCGCTAAATATACTACCATGTAGAGGCGTTTTATCATCATAACAATGCTTGCCTTCATGACCTTGCCGCACAACGCTGGGAGACCGTGCTGCACAAGCCGTGGCCTGTTCCTGCCTCGAAGCGTCATAGAGAAGCATGTCTTTGTCACCACCTGTGTTTTAGGGTCCACGACGCGAAATTCGTTTGAAACCCGAAGGGAGCAGGAGAACCAGATCGAACATGAACTAGCTGTTGGTGGAGGGTAAAGGGAGAAACGAA